TTGGAAACAAAGGGAGATGTGCTCCTTGGCTGAGAGCATACTGTCACTCATGAGTTATGTATCTGGAAACTTCTTCACATTCCTCTTCCCTGCTGCTCTACAGGAACCATATTAAATTGAGTTACATATCTCAGAGACGTGCTCTGAAACATGTAGACTATTTATCATGTTATACAGCTATAAGAACGTATGAACTTAACAAATGAGAGAGAAGCCCGCACCCATCTTCTACTTCATTTTGATATCCCAATGCCTATTGAATTTCCAAACACTTGTACCAGGCAGGCTGTTCAATTCATTCCTTAGTCACAAAGTAATTTTCACACTTTCATCCTCCTAAAACTACCTTGTCCCTTTTTTCCACTAAGCAAAAACCCATCCTAATATGAGCCAAATTTGGGTTTCTTTCAAGTATCACTGATGGCTTCCCTCCTGGGTATTCCTCAATCCCATCTCTACTTCCGAAGGTTTCATTACTGAAACCCTGAAGGCAGGGGCATGGACTTTAGATGAATCGCTAGTGCCTGGTTTCAGCCCAATGTACAGAAGTAAGAGTAAAGAGAAAAATACATAGTGGTGGACAACCCTAAGACGGCCCCATGGTCTCCACTTCCTGGTGTTCAGGCCTTTATGTCATACCTCCCTGTGAATGTGGGTGGGACCTGTGACTCGCTTCTGAACAACACAATACAACAAAAGTGATGGGATGTATGTGATTGAATGGATATAATTATGTTACATGAAACTGTAATGTCTGTCTTGTGAGGAGGTGTTCTCCCTTGCTGGCTTTGATGAAACAAGTGACAATGCTGGGGAGGCCGGCATGGACAGGAAATGAGGGTAACCTTCATTTGACAGCCAGCAAGAACTGCTGACCTCAGCCAACAGGGGGCAAGGAACTAAATGCTGCCAGCCAACCACCACGTGAACTCAGAAACAGATCCGTCCCCTTGAGCCTCAGATGAGAGTGCAGTCCTAGCAGCATCTTCACTGCAATCAGGTGAGTCTGAAACAAAAAACGCTGCTAAGCTGTACCCAACTGCTGACCTATACAAACTGTGCAACAATAAATGTGTATTGTTTTGAGCCACTACATTTATGGTAATGCTGCCATGCAGCAATAGATAACTAAACAGACAAACAAACAGAGAAAAAGAAAAGCAGCCCTGACACCCGCCAGCTAACCTGGTACTCTCGGCAAGGCCTTCATGTAGCTGGAGCTGGCCTGCACTCACGTTAGACCTTGGTATTAAACATAAACAACTTCAAAGAACATCAATATCAGACAAGGTCATGAAGACAGACGCAAAAACATGACCATTCTCTAATCATGCCTGAACATTGTTCAAATCCCCCAAATGACCAAATGTCCCCCTCAACTGGCTAATAGGAGTACACAGGTTTAACCTTGATTCATTCCCATCCTACAGATAAGATTTTAGATTCACATGCATTGAATTGCCCTTCCATAAGGCATCCAACACAGAGCAAAGCCCCACTTTCTTAACTTTCCCTCAAATCACCTAAAATAAGCCTGAATCCTATACGTGTTTTTTAATGCCTCCTTATTGAGATGCCTGAAGGTTCCCCATTGGTGTGTGGTCTCCTCCACCACAACCAGCAATAAACTCAACTTGATCAACTACAGGTGTGTTCCTAGTGGTCTTCGGCTGGAGGGCATTGACAAAACAATAGCAAACAAGTAAAGCCAATTTAAAAAATTAAATGTGACTATCATTGAACTTGCATAAAACTAGAAGCATAAACCAAAAAATCATGAAAGAGTCCATGTACTTTTTAAGTTAAATATAAAACACAAAAGTACAATGAACTATCTCCAAGTGAGTATATGAAATTATTGATAAATGGTATTAAGTGGGTATGACTAGGAAAACTAGGATGGATCTACATTTTAGACTAAATAAAAGTGAACTCTACAGAGATTAAAGAATGAAATACGATTAATAAAGGATGTGCTGAAATGCAATGGATTACTTCACCAGACCCATGGAAAAACAGGGACGCTGTCATTTGGAAACAGTAACAACAAAAAAAATAGGTTGACCCGATTTGGGTACAAATGCCTTGTGCGTGATGTAAAGCAATACAAAAACAGAATAGCCTGAGAAATACTTGCATCACAGTGACAAAATATTTAAATCTAGAATACTTCGTTCAAATTTACAAGAAAAACACCACATATTCAAAAGATAAATGAGTAAAGCCTATAACAGACAATTCACATAACAGAAAATAGAGCAAACAAAAACATGAAACCATATTCAGTGTTCTCAGTGGAACAGAGAGGTGTCATTTTATGCTAATAAAATAGCCAGTGAGGCAAATGAACAATCAAGGCTGGAAATGTTGGGGTCATGCTGCAAAGCCCCTTCATCACTGATAGTATTTCATATTGTTACAACTTATTTGAAAAGCAACGCAGAGGAGTCATAACCAAATCATCAACTCCTAGGAAACTTTTGCGCAGAAACTATCTGCTTAGATTTTACAATAGTATTATCTATAATGGGAAACAGAAACAACTTACAAGTCTAACAATAGGGAAATGTTCAATGAATTAACACATGGATTATCTAGTATTCAAATAATTGTGAAGGCTATGATGTAGAAAATGTTTAGGATTTGATGTGACCAAAAAAATGCAGACTATAAAAATGCAAATAGGGGCCAGCTGAGTGGCTCAGTTGGTTAAGAGCTCGTGCAAGAGTGCGAGCTCTGAGCAACAGCAGTTCGATGCCTGGCCCGAGATGAGTTGTCACTGAGCTGCCAAAAGGTGGCAGGATGGCTCAGCTAAAAAATAAATTAATTAATTAAAAAAGCAAATAAAGGCTACCGTTAGCTGAATAGTTATAATGTGCCAGGCACTATTTTAGGCATTCTGGTCACATTTCATTTATCTTCACAACACCCTGACAGGAAAGTAGTATTATTCCCATTTTACAGGTGAAGATACTAGGGCAAGGAGAGGTAATATATTGGCTGAGGTCACACAGCTGGGAAGTAGAGGAGACAGATATGAACCAAGATATGACTCCAGATGCTGTGTTTTTAACTATATTGTTCCACCTCTTTTAGACATATATGATGATTGGTACTAGGTGCAACTATGGCATCTGGGAACAAACACTGGAAGAGAACATGCAACTATGAAATAACTGTGATATGGGATTAGGATTAGAGACAATTTAATTTTAAAAGTCATCATCTTTAATGCTATATGATCTACCCAATGCAAACAACACAGATCATCAAAACAATGAACTCCTGACAGCCTCTTCCCCCTGAGACGTTTGGTTATATATGTGTCTTTGGAAACAGACCTGTTCAAAACTACTTCTAATTTCACTCTTTTCTGGCCTTCTGAGCAACATCGTAAGCTGGATTCAAATGTCTGGAGGTGGGCTTCTCTTGTTTCCCCTACCCCCCAAGTCATTGCTTCTTAACATGGGTTTTCTAATCTAACTTTCATAGAATCCAGAGTGTCCTGTATTTCAATTTACCGCCTAGGAAAGGTGACAGGGGTCAAAGCGTCATCTGAGGTTTGCCCAGAAAAGGCCTTAGGTTAGCCTATAAGTATACAACTACATCTTCCAGTCTTTCAAGTTTATTTGCCCCTCACTTGTTGGGACATAACCACTTGCTGTTTCAGAGCAGATTATAACTCCCAGATTACAGATGACATCCCTTCCCCAATTACATCATCTTGTTACCCTAGGCAGAAAAAACAGGGCAGGGAAGAGTGGGGGGAGGAAGGGAAAGAGGGAGTGCAGGAAACAAAGGAAAGAGGAGATGAGATCATTCTCAAGAAAAGGTGCAGCTACAGCTGATTGTAATAGATTATAATACCATTAGCACTGCAGGCAGGGAAAAATCTCCATCCCATGTCGCCATGGCAGTTCCCACACGGGCCAAGTAAGAACAAGGAATTCCACCTCCTGACAGGAAATGGTCAGTGGGGACAGCAAAGACCTGCCTGGGAAGGCCTGCCTATAACACCACCCCCAAAACTTGAATATTTCGCACCCTTATTCAAATAAAATCCTCAACTTCTTTGTTCTTCGGTACAGTTGCCCTTCTCTTGGACAGCTCACTCCCAACATTTTAGGAGTGTACTCTTTTCCTTTCCTTTAACAAAGCCACTGCTTGTTTGGCTTTGTTTGCATGGCTCAATTTGGTGCGTCCTTGAATTCCTTCCTGATACGTTTACCAAGAATCAGTTCTCTGGTAACAATCTGTGCAATCATTTCAGGAGAATATTGGACAGGGGTCAGAGCAAAGCTAATTTGTTGTCACGGCTTCTGAGGCAGGGTAAGCAAAGCTGGATGCTTCAACAGACATGAATGTTTTAGGGGGGCAGGCTGAGTATGGTGGGGAAGGAAGGATGTGAAACAATGCCCTGTAAATCTGATTTTACTGATACAAAATCTCAGCCAGACCAGAATCAGTTATGTGCAAAATGATTAATCACTGTCTCCATGAAATATTCAAGGTCCTGCTGCCTATTCTTACAATGAAAAAAAAATCTAACACTGAAATATGACTAACACTGAAATTTTGCTCATTCTCTAACCCTTTAATAAAGTAGAACAAAACATTTTGCCTTGGGCTTGGCTGAGTTATGGGATTTATCTCCTAAGTGGCAAAGCTTAATTCCTCAGCCCAATCACCAAACTGAGCCCTTTACAAGAAGCCCGGTAGGGAAGGAAAAATGCTTGTACCGCACCTCAGGCATCGATTTATCAGATGCGATAATTGCTCTGAGAGACAGGTTTTCTCTTTGTATTTATAGAAAAATAGGCACTGCAGAAGAAAATTAATTTAGCTATCGGGCAAATGCTGATGGCTTTGTGTGGCATGTATTTTTGACAAATGTGGTTGATGAGCTGCAACCTACCTCCGTCACTCCATCACTCCAAGAAAGGGGAGCAAATTTGGGGGGTATTACCTGAGGCAAAGACGCCACCTGAGCCCCCACGTACCTTCTCTGCATACTCAGACACAATTTGCTTGATCTCGGCGGAGCAGAGTCCCACGATCTGGCCCACAGAGCTTGCAGTAAGACGGCTCTGCAATCACAGGGAGGGTGTGTTCTCAAAGCCATGCCTTGTCTTTCACAGAACTGGAAAACCTGAATGCTCTGAGCACCATAGCAAACTAGATAAGAATATTCCCATGGGAGGAAAGAATTTATGTATTCATCACAAGGAAAAGAGAAAACAAGCCTTGGGACAAATATCAGGCCACCTCTCTACCTCCTGCGTCACTTGGCTAACTGTGCCAGATTCTCTTAAGATCCTGGGTACCTCTGGAAAATCATTCTTCACCCTTTATACCCCATCCTGAGGTCTCTCTTCCTGAGGGTCACTACAGAGCCTGTAGGAAACTTGTCAGGCTTAGGACCCAGGGAAAAAAGCACAAATGAGAGAGGAAGAGGGACCTCAGAACTCCTAATATACATACCTCTATCCTGCCCTAAAAAGGAATGATTCTTTCAAAGCCCTTGGACAGGCCTTGAGCTCTGAGAATTCGGCATTACAGCCTTTACCCAGATAGTGCAGGAAGGAAACAGAAGGGATACTTGGCATGGGGCATAACTCGTGGTTACGGAGACGCAGGGCTGAACCACGGCTCCTCTGCTGAGGCCTAGATGGTGCTGTCCCAGCAAGGACATCCTGCCTTCGCAATGGTCCCTCAAGTCTCCCTCCTAGAGGTTCCCATGGATGGAAACACTATAAAAAACTTCCCAAAAGAAAGATCCCTACAAAACAGGAAGCACTGGGTGCTGAAAGACAGGGCTCTGAAGAAGGTGCTCCCTCTAGAAAGAGGCCCCCACAGAGCAGAGCAGGGTGGTACCAAGTCCCCATCTCCACACCACATCCCCTCCCCATGACCACTCCACCTCACCTCCTCGTTTGCCATGGCCGTCATCTTGGTCATCAGTGACTGAATACGCTGCTAAAAAGAGGAATGGGAGAAATAGCTGTGAGCAGCTCTGACCACGTTAAGACTTACGCAGTATGTCTAACAGGTTGGAACCCTTGTACGGGGGTTGTTTTACTTGATCTCATTTTATGGTGAGCCTCCTGAGAGGTGATAAAAGGAAACTGCAAAGGGTACAAAAGGCCAACTGACAGCAATTGGCCATTGTGGGAAGCTGGGGATAAAAGTGAAGTTTCTCCCCAAACGATTTAGACAAAAACCTCGGGGGGCCTTCACTGGCCACACACCTCTTCAGCAGCTCGCAGCTCATCTTCCTCATGGGCATCAGCTTTCTCTGTAGCTAAGAGCCCCGTGGGAAGTGCTGTTTTCTTGTCCTCAGCCTGGAAGGAAAGATGGAAAACAGCTGAGCACCGGGTTGTAGACTCGGTCGAGAGAGGACACCACTGCAAAGAGGCATGAGTCTGTGAAAGAAACACACCCCTGGAGAGCTGAACCAGTCCCGGAGGAAGAGGGAGATCCAGAGACCTGAGCTGCCATTCCCACCGCAGACGGAGCGGGCAGAGCTTCAGGCCCTGGCCTGTGCTTGCTGATGAAGTTCCCATCAGGTCACACATTTGCCAGACGTATCCTTGCATTCTGATTGGGCCCTCCCCCTACTTGAACGCCTTCAAAGGCAGACCACTGCCTAAAGGAATGTTTTTCAAACTGCTAGTAGAGACCCATTAGTGGGGCATGAAAGTAATCTGGCAGGTGTGACAAGCATCTAACGAAATACCAGAGCAGAACATATCAGAGTGCTCTGCAGGTGTCAAGGGTTAAGCACTGCTCTGTGAAACTTCTGTATTTGATGTGTGTTATGTGCTGAATCATGATGAAAAATTGAATTCATACTGCCAGTGGAAGTCAACACAGTTTGAAGACCATTGGCCTGAAGGATAAAAATCCAAGCTGCTTCACCTGGCGATGAAGACCCACGCACTAGAGCAGCGGTTCTCAACCTTTCACAAGGGGTCGCCTACGACCATTGGAAAACACATATTTTCGATGGTCTTAGGAACCGAGACACCGCTCCTCTATCTGTCTCCAGGCCCACATGCAGATATGCCCACATACGAGTACCCGGCGACCCCTGCGAAAGGGTCGTTCGACCCCCAAAGGGGTCGTGACCCACAGGTTGAGAACCGCTGCTCTAGGAGTCCCAGGCTCTAAAGTACCACACCACACTCAAAAGACACCTGGGTAACTGCGGCTCCTCAAGCATGGGCTGGAAGTCTATACAGTTCCTGGTTTTAATTCCATCTCTGTCCTCTACCAGCTGGCTGACCTCAGGCTTATCTTCTCTGGATATCAGGATCTTCTAGGGTTCAAAGAGAGGATTGGGCCCAAACACCCTTCTCAGATCATCCCAGTTCTAGGATGTTTTTCTGTGACAAGTCTATGGCTGACCTGGGGGAACACCTTGAGCTTCTAACTGCTAGGTATAGCTACAGGAGACAGACTTCCAGTTCAAGTGTGCCATCTGACATAAGAATGACAAGACAAGCCAAATACGAATACTATTTAATGGGCATCTTATGATTTTTCCAGTCATAATCAAATTACCTTATTTTAGAATATAGTCGTATGCATATTCTTTTCAAATTTAAATTACACATCAAATTAAATGTACACATCAAATTCTTATATACCAGATGCTACACAACATACTCAAATCCAGAAAACACCTTGCTTTGGAGGAAATGACTGTTTAGTTGAGTGAAACCACAAATGTGGAAAAAATAAAGGAGTAAACCAAAACACATCATAATCAGTGTATGACTGATTGCTAATGAACTAATAATGATGATGATGATAGTTAAAACTTATGAGATGTTTACTATGTATTGAATCATTCTATGTCCTTTACATTTATTTTAATCTTTACAGCAATGCTGTGACGTAGTACAATTACTGCCCCCAATTTATAGATACTGTAAACTAAGGCACGGCCATTCAGCCTATGTCCAAAGTCACACAGTGAAGGGATGAAGCCAGGGTTTGAAACCAGCCAGTGTGGCTTTAGAGAATCTGTTCCTAGTCACTGCCACGGCCCTCTGATGACTGAGAAAACAATTACCACAGGCAACGGAAGGAGGCTGGGGTCAGGGACCGTCGCCTAGGAGAACTGAAGGAGGGGGGGTTTGGACAGAGGAGGGGTGGCAGGAGAACACAGGAGGAGTGCTGTCCTATTTAAGAAAATCTGAGGGTCAGGTAAGGAATGAGAAAAAAGGTTATTAATAGATCTCAAGCTGTAGGACTCTACTGTTTAAGAGGTCACTGACCACTTTAGTTCCACTTTAGTTAGCATTTTATTATTTAAAAGGCAGGGTTGAGAGCACAGCCTTTGATGTCACACAGACCTAGGTTCAGATTCTTATCATGGCACTTAAAGAGCTGTGTGACCTTGGGACAAATCAGTGAGCCTCTCTGAGACTCTGCTTTCTGACCTGAAAAGCAGTAATAAGTATCTTCCTCACAGAACTGTTCAGAGGAGTCAGTGAAAAAATACATGCAGAGCCCTGAACAAAAAAGGCCTGGAACACAGGAAAGGTCTGGCACAGTGAGATTTATATGCATGCTCTGCTGCTGACATTAAGGGTCATTATTAAGTACATACATGAAGGAAAATCTCTGAGGCTCCCTTGTGAAGTTAGGTAAGCCCAAGTGGGCTCACTGATTTTCCCACACGAGTTGCCCTCGTACAGGGCAGGCCTGGAATTTATGGCTGTGTGCTATCTCACTGTCAGCATCCTGCTCGCACCTGCCGAGGGCCTCTCTCACCACATGAGAGTGCTCAGAGCCCTGGGAGTGGACATCACCTTCATACTTACAGAGTTATTAGAGCCCACAGATTGACTCTGGGGCCATGGCTTCCAATCCCCCTTCATTTCCATTCCCAGCCCCACAACGGCACATCCTGGCTGCCCTGGGTGGCCCAGGGACCAGAGCTTGGGTAGCAGCAACCCTGCCTTTCCACCCCTGCTGGGCAACCTGTCAGTGTCCAACAGAGGCAAAGAGGAGGGTCGCTTCCCTCTCCCGGCATCTATGTTTTTCTTACCTTCTCTGTTTTGCTTGGGCGGCTAAATCCGTATCTCCTGCAGGCCATAAAAAAGGGGAGTCCAATTACTATTCAAAATCCACACAGTCGGTCAAATGCACTTTGGTTGATTTTTATATGAAAAGCACCAAAGAAAATTTAGGCTGTTTGTTCACTGAGAAAATGTTTTAAGTGTCTAAACCACAAACGTAATCCACTGTTTTTGAACAAAGGGCAAGCCACCCTATCTGCCATATAAACACTCTAAATGGGAACTCTCAGACTGCGGAGTGCAACACTCTCCTTAAATGCAGCTGTTAAATACTCTTTCAATCGGGAACTGCATTTCAGATCCACAGTTTAAGCTAAAAGCCTTAAAAATGTCTGTATAAACAAATGTGAATGTGTTTGCCAGCTAAACATGCGCTCTGCTGGCAACTTTCACAGTCTCCAGGCCAGCCATCTTTTTAATTCTCAAACATAACCCAAGCATTTTGCCAATAATGCTGTATTTTCACTTCATTCAACCTTAAATTCAAAGAAACTCACAAGTACACTTTAGTTTAGATTAGTTTATTTTCAGTCTCTAATTAATACATATGTTTTGTTTTGTTTTCTTTTTAAAGCAAGTATAACAATGCAAAAACCATTCAACCCAAAACAAAAAGCACAATGAAAGACACCCAACCTCATTTACCTTTAAATAGTTTATAAGGAAATCAAGTTACTGGCAACCATTTAAGAAAAATGGATCAAGGGCTCCCGTTGTGCCCTCACTCACGCCTGGCCTCCCTTGCCGGGTCAGTGTGCCGGCCTCTTCCTACCAGGTCTCGGCCTCCAGCCTCACTCCACGCCCACTCTTTCTCCCCATTCCTTCCGAGCTTCCTATTGGCCTGATGCACACTAATCAACAGCAGGCCTCTTCCATCAGGACAAACCAGGACCTCCCGGGCACTCTCACTAGGGTCTCCCTTCTATGGCTCTGCCTAATGCCCGTCTCGCTCGCCTTCTGCAGCTCCCCTTACATGCTCCTGTGCATCCACTGCCTGAACAGAGAGCTCTGCACACACCGCGCTGTCCTCTTTTCCCCCACTGCCCAGCTCACTCCTCACACCTCAGCTCTCCAGCCGCCTCTTCTCCAAAGCACCCCACGGACACTGCCCTGTCCAACGCATCCCTGTGTCTGTACATGTTTGCCCCACTTCCCAGATGGCAATCATGTCCAGCTACCTATTTGTCTGCATCCTTCTCCTGGAGGGCACTGATGCTTTTACAGTTTGTGTTTCCAATGCATGTTGAATAAATAAACTGAGACAAGTGAAAGAAAACACAGAAATCAAGAAGCCCAAATCATCAGCTGACCATGCAATAGTGTGTCACCTAACTGGAGAGACCACAAAGTCACTGCTGGGCACATGTGCCCATCCATTAGGCACGAATGCACAGGCCCGAAGTGCAGCGGATGGAGGCGAAACTCTGAGTATCCGCACACATGCTGTGAAGGACCTTATGGCAAATCCTGTGAATTCACTTGGTTTAATATCCATTGCATTGTCCTACAGTGGAGAGGCTGGTAAACATCATTTGAATCTAAAGGTGACATTTAAGGGGATCTGAGAACTGAAAACTGCTGCTGCTAATGAGGATGAGGATGGGACCTAACAGCTGACATTTACTGTTTTCTACAAAGGACAAAGTGTTCAAAGTTCTCCATATACTATACATACATATGGTTATGCAACCCTCATTTAATGGTAAAGAGTCCATGCAGTGGAGAGTACTGAATAGAACCCTGAGCAAAGAGTCTAATAGCCAGAAAGGAGGGGAGGGGCCTTCCCCAGGAAAGGGAACAAAACATACACTTGTTGGGGCTTTAAATTTTATCCAGTTCGCTCTGTCAGTTTAACAATCACTCTCTTCTCGTTCAGTCTCAGGCCAAACAACAAAGTCTGGGCCTGTCTTTCTAAAACCAAGAGCCAAACTCTCACTGGAGGCTCAAATAATATTTGTAGCTAATGATAAGACATACTTTTGGAGTCCAAGAAACCTGAGTTCAAGTTGTCGTTCGAGGCTCTTAATAATTCTTAATAGTTGACTTCAGGCAAGTTATTTTTTAACCTTTCTGAACGCTTTCTTTATCATTCTGAAAAAGGAGAATGAATTAAAAAAACTATCGGAATATCCTAAGTACCTACTTCCCTACCTCTTAAAAACTCACCACTCCTTATCAGCAAAGCTAAAACGAAAACAAAATAATCTCTTTTCTAAAAATAAACCAAAAAATCTTTCATCAAACACTTAGAAATCAGCATGACCCCACCAACAGGAACTAAGATTGGTCTTGAGTTACTTTGCTCTTTCTTACACTCCAAATTTGTGAGAAGTGATGTACAAAACCTGTCCCTTGATCCCTTCCCTAATGAAAGCCAGACCAGACGCTGGCCTCAACTGTCCCCACCACTCCTGAGGATGGGCAGGGACACGATGTCCTGAACTCACCCAGCTATCACATGGTGATAATGACTATGATCTACGACACATGCAAAAGATCTAATTTGAAACTGAGAATTTCAAAACAAAACAAAACATGAAATATTGTCAACATGGTTTTGATAAGGTGGACAATTTACTGTATCTCTGACTCCTTTTCACCCCCAGAAACATTTGAGTATCCATGATAATGGAAAAAATGCAGGTATGAACACCACAAACTAACAAAAGCCACAGCATTTCCCTAAGTATTAATACTTTAAGGGTCTGGAACATGGGACACTCACAGAGGAGGTTTCTCCAGCTCTGGCTCACCTGGAGCAGTGCAGCTTCACCTGCCCACCGCAGCTGGGGCTGGGCTGGAAAGACCCCATCACAGTGCCAGGGCAGGCAACCTGTCTAGTTGCAAAGAACTCCAGACTTGGAAGTGCCCCACACACGTTGAAAACTTAACTGATCATTATTAATCATTCTTAACAAGGGGCCCTACATTTTCATTTTACACTGGGCCTGTGCAAATTATGTAGCTGGTCTGGTGGTGCCTGACTCAGAAGAGCTCAAGTCACAAAAGTAACTGGTGAGCTGTGGGGGCAGCCATCACACCTGGCTTAGGCTCAGAACTAGCAACTTCCTTTGAATGAAACACACTAGTTTTCATTCTTAGGAAGTAAGAATCTGACCCCACACAACCCTAACAAAAAAGCGGCAATAGCAATTCCATTTGAAAGATGGAATACTTAAGGACCTTTTAAGCAGTTTCCTTCTGGTTCTCTCCAGTACCCTAGAGGGGAAAGCCATCAGATGCTCACTCAGGGACATGCTAGTGGCAGGGCCATTAATTAGTTCCAGCTTTCCAACAAGGGTTGGGTTATAACACAGGGAAGCACACAGCAACCACTCTCAGCATAAAGGAAAGGAGCCCAAGGAGACATACTCACATCAATGAATCAGTTACCCTAAGTAGAAAATAAATGCAGGACATAAATGAAGGTTAACACTCAGGTTAAAAATCCAATGAGGAGATGGACTTCCTTATGTATGTGTGTTTTAAGTAAACTGAGGATATAAAATAAGAATTGTTTTTTAAAAACGAGAGATGTTTTAAAAGTGACAAAACTACTTCTAAATTCTTCATTTTCCTAGACAGGACAATTCTTCACAGGAAACCAAAACTACTATTCTAACACAGTAAAACTGTTGGAAATTCTTTAGTTTACCTGAAGATTTTATCAAGTGGCAGGGACATGAAAGGCAGACCACCCCAGCCTCCACAAATGCCCCAAACTCCCAACTCTCCAAGGTGGGGAGGGCCAGAGCACACCGTTACACACATTTCCAGAGAAGAATTTCAAAGGTAATACCCTACCGCCATCAGGGAAGCTACCCCCAGAAATAGGTAATTCAATACCAGGGAGAAAAGTCCCGGATGCTGGAAATCTCAGGCAAAAACAGTAAACTCAATCAAGTAAAAGCCAACCAAGTTAATCCCAATGAAGCAAATCAAATTAGCTTTTCTCTTCAATGGTTTTATAAAGAGACACATTAGACTGGGTCCCGTTCATTACCTGCCATATTCCAAAAGTGTAGCATGGATTCGAGATTCTTCATCAAGCAGCTCCTCTGCTCCCTGTTGGCGTTTGTATTTCCGACGGGGCTTGTAAACATCCTAAGAAGTGAACGAGACAGAGAAGTCACTGAGTGTGAGAAGGCTCTCCCCCTGAACTGACTGCTGAATGCATCCAGCCAGGCAGCGGAGTGAGTCTTCCCCACCACGGCCAGTGTGCAGCAGCTCTCCAACAGGACAGTGGGCACTCAAGCTGGCTGTGTTCAGGCGGTCTGCTCCTTTGACTTTTATATATGGAACAAATATTTCCACCCAATCTACTGCTTGTCAACTTTGTTGTAATTTGGTATTTTTTGTCCTATGACATTTTAATAATCTTTGTAGTCAAACTTATCGAGCATCTTATATCTTATTTTCTACCCCAGGGATTGTGAAAAAAAAAGTTTTTGATGTTACTTTTCTAGTTTATATTTAGCCTTTTAATTTATTTGGATTTGTTGTTGTTGTTGTTGTATAGTGAAAGGTAGGGATCTAGCTATTTTTTTTCTGAGTGGAAAATTAAAAATCCCAACATCATCAGTTTAATAGTCCATCCTTTCCCTGATTTGAAATGATATATATATATATATATATATATATATATATATATCCTAACAAAGTACGTGGCATGTAGTAGGTGCTCAATTAATGCAGGTCTTCACCCCCCAGATGACCTGGTTTGTCATTCTACTCCATATGACTTCCAAGCTTTCCTGACTGCCAAGCTGGCAGTCAAATACCTTAGTTATATTTGCTCAGGGCTCTGGGTGCAAGTGGGCAGTTGTTTATAGAAGCAAGGTATTCTAGTTGTGTGTTCCTGGATCTCTTCTTCTTCATCTACCAGAGTTTACCACAGCTGATCTCTACTTGGACATTTTTCGAGGACAAGCATAACTATCTCTCCACATGGTGGCATATTTATTCTAATTAGGATTTTTCCCCCCTTTGATAATTCTGGTTAAGTTTGTTATTACTTTATTTTTTATTATGAAAAATTTCACACATACAGGAAAAATTCTCTCTGTAACATATACTACATAGATTCAACAATTTTGTAGAAAAGAAATGGAACAGGATCTGGGATGACGCAAGAGGGTTCTTAGAGCTTGCCACCATAAATACTCCCTAATTTGCTGCTGGTGTCTACATGAATAGGAAGCTATAAATAACATATAAACAGCAGATTCATGGGTAAATGAAAAATATAATGAACACATAGGACGTCAGTTACTGCATATGCTTTAATTTCCACTGTGCTCTACTATTATGGCTGTACTACATAATTGAGCTTAACTGCTATCTTCCTTAGTTACCATTGATAGAGTCAATGACCCAAGCCAGGAAATTGGATTCTTCTAAAAAAAGGCTGACTCCCAAACAATAGCAAATTGAAACCAACGGCTGCAAGGACCTTTTATTCTGCCAAACAACAACAATGTTGGCCTTTGTGTAAAGATTCCTTATACTTTAAAGTACCTCATAAACATCCCATGTTTTGCAATTTATAACTGTACTATTAGGTAGAGGCAAGGCAGATGCCATTACCTCCACATTACTTCTGATGAAACAGAGATTAAATCATTTGTCCAGGATGGCTAGGATAACATTAGGCCTGGCCCTACGTACCCTGGCTGCCAGCCCCAAGGTTTTCCCACTATGCCAACTTGTCTCTGGTGGGCATTCTAGTTACCCACCAGCCACTTCAGCTGAGTTCTCTCATGAGACTCACTATACAGTTTGAGGCTGCCACATGAGTCATTCTAATGATCTGGACCCAATAAGGACCTAATAGTAACAGTAATAAGGATCTGTAAGTCAGATGTTTCCAGGCCAACCAAACAGAACTATTGTTGAGTCACCCTTTAAAAAAACAGGAGTCAGGAATACTGAGGTCTAGTCATGTCTCTGCCACTAACTCATTGTATGACCTCGGGAAAGGCAGTTCCTTCAATGGGCCCATTTCCTTATCTGTAAAATGAGGCTAGATAATAGACCTTGAAGGAGACTTACAGTCTCTCATTCTTTGTATTTTTCAAGTCCTGCAAAGATACTGACTTGGTAACATAATTCAGCAGTAATTTAAAGTCTGAGATTAATTTTAAAAAAACACCCTATATTTTACACATCACCTCTGCTCCTACAAAGATATGCAAAGTCAACTTATCTTTTGCCATTAGTAGCAATAGTACTAGTACCGGCTATCATTTACTGAATGCAAGGGATGTGCCAGGCATATGCTGCTTTATATGTGCTGCCTGTTTGATCCTCAAACCAATGAAGGTAGTTATCCTTGTTTTCCATGTACAGATGATGAAACCGGCACAGGGTTAAATAACCTGCCCACGGTTACCAAGGGAGTGAATGTGAGAGACAGGATGACTCCAGAATGGGGACTCTTAAGCACACTGCAAGATATTTTATACCTCAACTCTGGTCACTCTTCATGATCATTTGTCTCAGCAGATGCTGAAGGACACGTGAGCGGGCTGAAAAAATAAAGGGGAACTTCCTGTAAAGCAGAGAACTCTTGCACTGAGTGGCACAGATCTCTACCTCACAGGTCTGGCGACAAGTCAGGTTCACCAGCCGCAGCAATGCCTGTGAGTCACATCCCAAATGGCAGGGAAGGACAGGCGAAGGGAACAGTGCTTTGGCAATGTGCACAACAAAGCCCTCCAACTCCTTCATGAACTAAGGGAGCAGGCAGCGAAAAAGTGGCCACCAACTGGGTATTCTGCACTCAAAAGCTCCAGTGACCCAGACCACACCCGACTCAGCAGGGAGCTCTATTGCCCAATTGCCTCCACTGGCCGTACCAGCTCATTCCCAGAGGGCTCAGCAGCCCAAACCCAACTAATCCACACACCTCAGCCCATGAGGCCTGTGAAAAAACAGCCTTCCACCTAAAGGGGCTCCACAGATGTTTCCACCACCAACAGCCATGTCCAGAAAGGTCCCATTAGCAAAAGTTACAACTAGGACAAAGTTTTTTTTTCATTCTTACACCGGTAAAACAGCAACAACAAACAAAACAAAGCCCCTGGGTACTAAGTAAAGGAAATGACGAGTGACCGGTGGATGGTGATAATTTCTGCAGAAAGGAACATGTCTATAGGTTTGAAAGCTGGGGAGGAAGAGACACCCCCAAACCTTGTTCCTTTTTTATACTCTTTTACATGAGCTCTGCTCTGCCAGGGGTGTCTTCTGCTCCTTGAGTTCTAGCACAAGTCCCACCTCAGGTCTCCTTGAGTCTGCACCAAACAGTGTAACTTGGTGGGTGAGCATATGGAATGGTTGCTGTGTAATATTACAGAAATGAGCCAAAGACGGCTTCTGTATGCTGCTCCTAGGCTTATTTCTTGAAAGCAGTCTGATACCTGTTGGTGCAAAAGCCCATCAGTACCAAACTCAGATTTTTCCATATCCAATTGTTTTAAGCATGAACCCTCTCCCCGAAGCAGATTTTTACCCATTTATAGCCTGTCTACATTGCATACTCTGATAAACTGCTCCCAGCATTTGCTAACTAACCAGACAGGATGAGCCCTGGGGCTACAGAGACTCAAGCTGCTGCAGCTCTTTAAAATCTGGGTCCCAGAGCTTTCCCTGTGGTGCTGAGCAACATCCCCCAGGGGTTCCCTGGTTCTCCTACCTTCTGGATGGTAGCCCCTGCACCTAAACCTCTGGATAGTAACTTGCTGTGAGGGACTCCCCACCCTGCAGGCAAACCTGTCAAAGCATCGCCCAAATAAAGCCTGTGTATGCTACTGCCATCTCGTGGTCATCTTTTTCCTTGGTGAGCCCCTAATCCCTTGAATCTCTGACAGCTGGAAAATCGCTGTTTTCACCTCAGCTCCCAGAATGCAGTCTGGCACTCATTCAGTGCTCAATTAATATTACTGAATGAAGTCACGGAGTCAGGCAGACAGGGTTTTAGTCCTGACCCCATAACTTACTACCTGTCTGATTTAACTTCTGTGGCTTTCCATCTGTAAAATAGGTATCAGTAGAGCTGTTGTGAGGATTAATTAACAACATCTGACACACAATAAGGGCTAAGATACATATTTTTCACATATAGATGTATATATTATTATTAATATTAATATAACAAAACAGAATATATAGTATAATGCCATTTTTGGTTTTTTGGGGGCAATTTCTAATTCTTTATATTGATACCCATAACTGTATTTTCTACTTAGAAATCAGTGATTATCCCTGGCTGGTGATATCATGAGTGATTTAATCTTTATGCTTTTTCTCCATTTCCTAGTTTGTCATTATTATAATTTTATACTTATACTGCAGTTCTAGTATAAAATAAAAAAAGCTTTTTTATTTACTTTTATTTTTAGCTGAGCCATCCTGCCACCTGTTGGCAGCTCAGTGGCAGCTTACCTTGGGCCGGGAATCGAACCGGTCACCCTGCTGCTCAGAGTTCGCACTCTTGAGCGAGCTCTTAACCAATTAAGCCACTTGGCCGGCCCCTAAAAATAAAGTTTTTTAAAACAAACAATCATGCAAAAAAACCAGATGGGCTACATAACCAAGGACAAATGCAGAAGACTGGAACAGTCCTATAAGAAAGGCTAAAGACAAGAATGAATTACATGGTTTGAAAAATATTAAAATGTTTAATATTTATTTTTTTAAATGAGGTTATTTCTAAGCAAGAACAAGTAAGAACCTGCTGGTTGAGGCACAATGGTGTCATGTTGACTAATGAAAAAAGCAAGAAGACAAGATGACAGTCTCTACTCGGCCAACATTCTCCCAATGGACAAAGGGTCTTCAAGTGGGAAAAGTCACAGTGAATGCCCCCAGAAGTGACTGCACAGGTAGCAGGGGACACATCTGAGTTTCTGGGACCCAGATGAATAATAGCCCAGAGTTGTGAGATAAGTCAGAAACAGTACTGCAAAAGTGGTGCCAGGATATGAGTGAAATCAAAGAGCAAGTGAAGAGGGAGAAAACTGAAGAAGCACCACCACCTGTTGCATTTGAGGAATCAGACGTAACATCAAAATCTGTAATACAGAAGTGTATACCTAAAACCTATGTAAGTTTACTAACAATTGTCACCCCAATAAACCTTAAAAAAAAAAGAAAAGAAAAATCTAGCTGCCTCTTCCTAGCTCTGCGACTATGTAGAGAATTTATTAGCCTTTCTGAGTTTCAACTTCTTAACTTATGAAATGGAAATAATAATATTTAATTCCCTGAATGTTGGTGAGGAGTTAATGAGGTAATGCTTGTAAAATGCCTAATTAGGTGCCAAGCACATACGAGGTATGATAAAAAATACAGTGAATATTTAAATTAAAAAGAAAATTTATTACAGTAAAAGACACATTGCCATTAATCCCCCTCAAAATACTCCCCCTTGCTTTGAACACACTCATCCCATCGTTCTTGCCACATTCTGAAGCAGTTCTGCAAGTCCTCTTTCGTGTCTTTAGTTGCGCTGTCATGGCTGCCTCGATATCCTGAATCTATTCAAAATGTTTACCTTTCATGGTCATTTTGACTTTGGGGAAGAACCAGGAGTCACATGGTGCCAGATCCAGTGAATAAGGTGGATGAGGACACACCATAGTGTTTTTATTTGACAGAAATTGCCATATCAGAAGTGATGTGTGACATGGAGCCTTTCCGTTGTGATCACAAAATACAGTGAATGCTGCTGCCAAATGCCATCCAATGAAAATGCAGGGATCTTTAATATGGGAAGCAACACGTTGAACCTTAGCAACAGTGTGTGACAAGTTTCAACTTGTTCGGTGTAGTCAGTAGGGTGTGTTTTGTAAAGTGTGCCGTAAATCATCCTCCATCAAGACAACACTCTGCGTCACACATTGCTTCTGGTACAGCAATTTTTGTCAAATAAAAACATTATGGTGTGTTCTCACTAACCTTATTCACAGGATCTGGCACCGTGCGACTTCTGGCTCTTTCCCAAAGTTAAAATGATTCAGGACATCGAGGCAGCCACAACAGCGCAACTGAAGACACTCATGAAAGAGGACTTCCAGAACTGCTTCAGGAAGTGGCAAGAACAACAGGATAAGTATGTTCGAAGGGAGGGGGAGTACTTTGAGAGGAATTAATGGCAATGTGTCTTTTACTGCAATAAATTTTTTTATTTAAACATTCACCATATTGTTTGATCACACCTCGCAGGAAACAATAAGTACATGGCTGCCGCATGCATTTTATAATATATAAAAGGCTGGGTCCAGGAACTAGGCGTGTGTATGTTACCTTATTTTAATCCTTAATTTAGCACTCACAATTTAAATTTGGGATTCCAGACTTGTCAATAAAGAGCAGGTAAGAAATACTGATGAGGCATGAGGCGGGCAGAACTGGGAAAAGACTGAAAGAGAAGAAAACCCCCTTCAGGACCTGAGACTTCCAAAGAGCCACAACTGGTCCTCTAGGGAAGGTTTCACTCCCTTTACTGAGGGAGGGCTTCTCCTTAGGGAGAGTGACAACAAACAATAGCAAGCTGTTCCATTTCTTATACTGACTCAACAGTAAGCCACGGACATGCACTGCAGCCCTGGTGACTCTTGTGAGCTTCTGGGGCTCATTTCAAGGCTGCAAGGAAGCCCGTGCAGAAGCGAAGGGTGGGAGGGATGGATGGAAGTTAATGGCACTGGAGCTCAGCTAAGAAACCTAAGAAGACAGCATCTGGAAGTGAGGACTATTTTCAGTAGACAGGGAGAGAAGAAATCAAATAAAACCCAAGGCCCAGCTTTAGCCATCCACAGGAATCCTTTACCATTCCTGCTAAAGATGTATTGACAGTCACTGATGAGTAAGTTCACACATAAAAAAAGAAAACAAACTAAACAATATGAATTAATTATCAAAAAGACTTGCAATCCCTTCAGCCCATTTTCCTTTATCTTGATATTATTTTCTAATCAGCTGCAAACATCTTTTTTTTTAGCTGAGCCATCCTGCCACCTGTTGGCAGCTCAGCGGAAGCTCAGCTCGGGCCAGGAATTGAACCGCTGTTGCTCAGAGCTCGCATTCTTAAGCGAGCTGAGCCACTCAGTCGGCCCTGCAAACAGCGTTTTACCTAGAGGCCCACAGCACAGTGTTTACAAGACTGGGTTTGCATCCTGGCTCCATCATAACCAATGTGACCTTAGGAGATTATATATCCTATCTGTGCCTCAGTTTCCTCACCTATAAAAAAGAAATATTACTACTTCTTCACAGGGTTGTTGTGAGGACTAGATGAGTTACATGTAAATAATTAGGACAATGTCTGTGCACTGTGTATTTGTCATTATCTCCTTAAATTCTATGCACACTATCAAGCAGAAGAGGATTAAAAGAAAAACAAAAAACAATTCCATTACAAATGAAAAGAAGAAATAATATGTCTCTACAGGCCTGACATATTTAATGGGTATAGAGATGCCAGGCCTCAATGATCAACGGCTACAATGGCCTTTTATTCTGGGTGATATGGCTGAAAACTGGAATGTTTTCTCACTCTCTATCCAGGGTTCAGAGTGAGGTTTCCATGTAGAGATATTCAATAAAGCACTATAAAAACTTTACTTGTATTTACTGCTTTTGAATAGGTAATAATACACAAACTTAATATAAAATTCCAAGAGAATCTCCCTTCCTCTCCTGCCCTAGCTGCCCAGCTCCCTGTATCAGAGGCAATGCTGTTACCTGCTTCTCCTCCTATCTTTCCAGAAGAAAAGTATCATTTAAAATAAGGGAAAGTGACAGCATAACCAGCCAATTGGTTGTTATTTGTCATGACATGTGAGTCAGAAAAAGAGTTAATAAGAATGAGTCTGGGAGCTAATAGGAATAAGCTTAAAGATTAACTGATGAGTTAGAAAGATGTAATAAGAACGAGCCTGGAAGCCAATACAAATAAGCCTAAAGAATAGGTTTAAAGATTAACCAGTCAGCTCTGAGTCTCCTGGCTAGCAATACAGTTGCAGGCTGACAAACACCAGGACAATTTTTGGAGGAAGTCAACTGCAGCAACAGTTCTCCGAAGGGGCCAGCCGCAATGGTACACAACTGCAAGGTGGCTAGCCCCCTGTGTCCTGCGTAGAAAAATATAAAACTCCAGCTAAACAGCAACCTGCTACTCTGAGACTCTGTCCCCAAGCAATCCCCCGCCGGTGTTTCTCTCCTTACTACCCACGGCAGCCGTCTTCTTTAGACACTGCCATGGGCATTCTCTCTCTGCCTAACCTTCAATAAAACTTGCCTACTTTTCTGAGTCTTGTGAATTCTTTCACATTCTGGAAATGACCAGGGGTTAATTCTATGCCAATACAACAAATGCTGTTAGGAGGAATCTTTAATAGCATACCAAAGACTATATTGGTAAGTGAAAAAAATCTACAAAATTATACTTAAAGTATAATTACAATTCAGTATAAAAATGCACATTAAACATGGAAGAAATATGTATAAGCATCAAAAGTGGCTGCTTCTGTGTTGTGAGATTAAGGCTGATTCTCTTCCCCTGTATCTATCAACCTTCAAAAAAAGAAAAGAAAAAACCAAAACCCAAACTTTAAAGAAGTTCTAAACTGAACATCTATTTCATAACCAGGAAAAAAAATTTTTCCTGTGCTGTCATATCATGTGCTCCTTTTCTTCTTACTATTTAATATTGTCACCAAATCTGAAAATAGCACCTGGCTTCAGTGTGTAACTATCGTAAAGGTTTTCCCTCCTCCCATTTCCAAAATGGAATTGAGGAAAAGATACAAATTACAACTATAAAATAAAGACTTTTTTTGTTATAAATAAGCACTTCGTGTCTTTCATCACCAAATGATTGTCATTCGTTTCAGAGTAATCACCTTGGGGGACCACACACTTAGTCTTCAAGTAAAAACCATGCGAACTAACACTACACATGAATTTCAGAAGAGAATTTACACCCAGGCATTGAGGCTTCAGGCTCAGGAGGAAGCATGGGGGGCGGAGGGGGGGGGGCACGCCAACAAGGTTCTCCTGGGCTCCGTCCCAGAGTGTTGAAAAGGCCCAAGGCTCTCCTCTGCTCCTTGGACGGGGAAAGTGGGCACACGTGTATAGATCCCATGGTTAAGATACACTGTGTATGGTGACACAGGCCATCCCAGAGTTTCCCACACAAAACTCAGAAGCTACTCTGCCTCTCCAAAGCCACCATGTGGATGGTGACACCTCAATTTACCATCTCCAGTTTATCATTTGCTTTTTGGGAGCTATTCAAAGTTTATACTTGCCACTGGCACAAATGAGGAAGGGCTTTGGGTTTGGAAAATTTCTCCCTTAAAACTGGAACAAAGTAAAACACAGGGCAGTGCTACCCATGAATGGTGGTGTCCAGATATGGGGCAAGTGAGGCAGGCAGGGCTTCCCTCGCACCCACCTGAAGTTGGCTCCTGGATAATCCCAGCAGGCAGAAACCTCAGGAGGCAGGGTTTTGAGATTTAAATCAAAGTGCTAGTTGGAGGCTGTGAACCTATGTTCTTCTTCTGCAGAAGAACAGGGGCAAGGGAACTTACTGAGAGGTCAACAACTGTCTTGATGGCCTTTTCTTTTCTCTTTATGAAGTCATCATCCTGAAAGACAAAACACAGGGATTGAATCCTGTGTGAAGATTGAGACTGCTTAGAAATTGGTCTATAAATTGACTTTTCATCATGTTGCCTGAAGAAGTCTCAACTTTCTAAGAAATTGGAATATATTCTGCATGGGGAAAGCTATGACATCCGCAGATGGTTCCCAAACAAATCACTAAAGCCAGTAAAAAAAAAAAGGGGGGAACTATAGAATGCGGTGGTGAAGACCTGTGTTCTCATTTCTAATCCTTACAAGCTTTGAAGCCTCAGGCAAGTCACCGAGCCTCTAAACCTCAGTTTCTCCATCTGTAAAATGGAACATCTCTACCTATCTCAGACAGTAGCCGAGAAGATTAAAGAGTAGAAGGCACGTGATATGCTGGGACTGGAATGTAGTAAGAATCCAATAGCTATCAGGTATTACTGTTATTGTGATTATTAAACTGCTACACAGGAATGTCCTAGGCAGATGGTCTCTTGAAAAGCTGTATATGACTATATAAAAATATACTCATGTTCTTGTAATTTAATAAAAGCTCTGGATCAACTACCAAAATTGAGAGAAAAGGACAAAATTGTAGGGCTTTACACTCAGTGCCCATTTCAAAAGGCAGCTCTAATGAACCGGGAGGCCCTGTTTCAGTGCTTACGAGGTAGATGCAGAGATGCCAGCAAGGGGGTGGGCGTGTAGGGGAGCCTGGGCTTTCCGCATTCCTTCTTGGGGAGTCTATAACTGTATACCCATGTTCTCATCCGGAGAAGAAAAGAAATGTAGAAAACTGACCTCAGGGAGACTGTAGGTTTTCTGGAACTGGGATATGGAGTAGGAGCGGATGTAGTCACCCATCTCTTCTTTTGTTTCTATAGCTCGCTTCACCAGCCACTGGGGAAGAAAGTTAGGAAACATGAGTAGGAATGAAACACCACTGCAGTGAAGGTCAACTCAAAGGTGGCACAACTCATGAACCCAAATCACCGCACCTGAATTGGCCAGGTGATGAGAAACTATCCACATGTACTGTTCTACAGGCAAAGCCACTGGCCGGGCGTCTGAAAAACTAAGATCCAGTGGCACCTAGAGCTGAGTAGCTGGGCGGGAGCTTTAAAGCCTCACTTCAGGTCCTCAGGCCTCAGTCTCCCTCTGTGTGCAAACTACAAGTGAGGACACTAGTTCCTTTCACCACAGAGCTGCTGTGGGAGCAAATGAAATCACAAGTACCAGAGTGCCTTGCATGTACCTGACGCTATTCCCCACAGCTACCTGGTTCTAGGCAGACCTTCATATAACTCCTTGAAAGGGAACACCTAGTATAAACACTCATTTCACAGATGAAAAACAAACAAACAACCCCAAATATTCAGATTTGTGAACACTGTGTACTGAGTACACAGCCTGAGGCTTCAGGTTAGTTTGGCACTCACAGCATTCTCTCTCTTAATCCATACAATATTATGAGGCAGTTGGGACTGGCTGTGTTTGACAAAACCTCAACTTCAGAGACTATGGAATTTGCCGATTGATCCACAGCTAGCAAGTCACAAAGTCGCGAGTCACAACTGGGAGGCTCTTCCACACCAGAAGACTGGACATATGGGTTTTATTAAATGTTTCTCAGTTCTACTGGGCTGATATGCAGAAATAGCTGCTCTTTGTTTCTCCCTACTTAACACACACACATACACACACCCACATGCCATAACCTGTGGGAGATCCAGGTACTCTGAAAGTGAGAATGCAAAGACCTAAATAAATAAATAAGTAAATAAATAAATAAATAAATAGAGAGCTTTTGTTTCTCCTCCCTGGCTCTTCATTTATTCCCTTCATTACTGAAGAACACTATGGAGGGGGGGCGCCATCTGTCAGGGTTGCCATTCTCTCTTCAGAGAGAGCTATTATATCTCAAAGGCAGTTTTTGGACAGTAGCTGTTTTCCCGAGAGCACAGCCTCAGTGGCAAGGTTTAGCTACTGAGGAAAGTAGACACATGGCCCAAAACATGGTGATCCCGTGGGATGGAAAGAATGGCTGCTCACAGAAGGAGCCAGCTCCAGCAAATGACTCATTTAGACAGTACATGATTAGGAAGTTGCCCAGGACGGGGTAGCTGCAAATAACTACATGAGGAATATTCCTCTGTTGTTAGTATCTTCCATTTATTTCCATCCCTCCACCCCACACCACCTCCAGTGACCTCGGGCGCTGACTACAATGCAGAAGCAGGGGTGAAAGTCAGACAGCATTCAGAACTCTAGCCCCTCATCGGCACCCCCACGCACCCAGGACAACTAAGGAGGCGGACTCCTGCTCAACTCAGTTTCGCTGTGCTTTCCTTTGGATGGGGAGATCCAGTTTCCAGCCTTTCATGCTGGTTTCCTGTTCAGATCTTTCTGTTAATCAGATTTACATTAAGTTATTACTTGGCTGGATCCTGGAGAGAGTGATTAGATAAGGAAAGTAAAGCCTGTTGACATGAAATTCCCTTACAGAACTGATTGCCCTCTTTTGGAGTTCCCAACATGAAGGGCTGTGAAGGAGACTTCTTGAACCGCCAAGCTCTGCCACAGGTCTTTAGCATGTGAAAAAAAATACCAACCCTCACAGGATTCACATGTTTGGCATGGGAGAAAAAGATGTGACCGTGAACTATCAACAGCTGAAGTTAGATTGTTTTTCTCTGGCTAGCACTCAGAGTGTTACTACAGCTTTGCTAAATGGTGTGACTGTAGGTGGTGAGCCTCTAGAATCATATAAGACAACTAGTTCAATGTTTCCCAATTGCTGGTCCATGACTGTTCTTTCACTGGTCTCAGCAAAACAGGAAAAAAACTACAGGCATGTGGTGAGTTTTTCATAATGCTGCAGGCATCAAATTTGAAGGACTGTCCTTTATTCTGAGATTGGGTGTTAAAACAGCCTTTCTTTTAGGAATGATAAAGAAAGCAAGATAATTGTTACTTTTAAAAATGTCCTTGCCTGGCAAAATACCGGTGGTAACTACTGTCAGTCAACCTCCATTTTTGCTTCAAAATTTTATAGATACATGAAATTAAGAAATCTGGTAACCACTAGCCTAGGCTCCACATCCAGGCAGGAAGCCGTCCAGCATTCTAATCACAACGTGGAAAAATCACACTCAAAATGACCAAATTAACTATAGAAGATCACCTCCCTTTCATCCCTTTTTCATATCTAGACTAGATTTTTTGCCCTCGAAGTTCCAGCAAAGGGGTGAGTAAGGTCTAATCACTAAAGGCCCAGGCTTTTAGGGAAAGGGCAGCAACTTCCCAGTGAGATGATGATGGAGGTTTCAGTAATCAGCAAAAGAGGGCCCCTACTTCTGTTTTCACTAAAAGGATTAGGTACCATTTCCATGAATCAGAAAGACAGAAAGTCTAACAAGGATGCAACTCAAATTCTGAGTAAAAGTCTTAGCCTCAAATTTACGAATTTCATTTACAAATGTCATGGTATTTGATTCGAAGTCTAAGCAGGGAGAATTCCCAATAATTGTTAACAACAACAGAAACAACTATATAAACTTATAAAGCACTTACTATAATAAAACATGCCAGTCCTTCAGCTAAGTGCTTTACACAAATTAACTTAATTCTCATCCTATCAGGTAGGTATTATTATTATTTCTAGTTAACAGGTGAGTAAGTCATTTGCCGAAGGTCACACAGCAGAGCCAAGATTTGAACCCAGGAAGTCTCCAGAGTCCCTGGTCTTAACCCCTACACTATGTAAACTTGACACAGCATTGAAAGACTTTTCTAACAAGGGCTGCATAGCTTTCTCCTCTGTGGCATGAATGGAGTGGGAAAGGATAGGGCTGGGAGACTGGGAGTTTAGACTGAAATCTCTGCTTCTCCACTCACTAGTTCTCTGCCTTTAAGCAAATCAATTACTCTGAGGCTCCTTTTCCTCAAATGTTAAGACTAGGTTTATAACAGATGTTTCAAAGGCTCTATGAGGATCAGATGCAAAGCACTATTTGCACAGCAGGCAACAAAGGGAAGTGAGTCCCTTTGTTCCTCCTCTTTTCCGGGTGCCTGGAGTGGAGGCACACATGAACTGCACAGAATACAGGGAGCTGTACAGCATGAGCCACTTCATCACAGAGCTTTGGGGAATAGCCAGGTGGAGATGAGTCTCCCATCAGGCATTTAGTCACCCAGTAAGGACTAACTGCCTGCAAAGTGCCAGGCATCCTATGAGGCACTGGAAACACGAGAGTGAGCAAGACAGCCATGGTGCCTGCCCTCATGAAGCTTACAGTCTGATGGGCGAGGCAGATGAATAACCACACCCTCGAACATAAAACATGGTACAAACTGCAGTAAGGAACATTCCAGTGAGGAAAGGGAGGGTGGCCGTAAGCGTGGATATAGCAAAGGAACCTGTTCTAGGTTAGGCGGGCAGGGGAAACTTTCTTGAGGAGTCTTAGTGGAACTGAAGTCTGAAGAGTGAATATGAATTAAGCAGGTAAACAGAAAGGAGGAGCTTTCCAGCCTGAGGGAAAGGCCCTGTGACAGGAGGAAGCGTAAATAACTACAATAACTAAATCTGAAAGTCAGAGAATCTAGAACAACAGAAAGAACAAAGAAAAGCAAGGAGTGAAGCTGGATAGGTCGGAAGGGACCAGGGCATGCAGGGCTGTGGAGTTCTATCTTTATCCAAAGGGCAATGTTAAGCAACTAAAGGCAACATTCAAAGGCCAGGTGACAGTGTGAAACTAGGGGAGGTGAAGTACTGGTGGCCTTTTGAAGATGACATGAGAAAACACGTTCTGTTACCAGCAAACGCACACCACCACACCCATGAGATCCAGGGTCCAGGCCAGGCCTGGTACAGGAATTTGATGTTCAGAAGACAAGAAGCCACACAGAGGCTCTCACCTGAACGACAGGAAATATGTGAATAAAATCCATGCCCTGGATCTGGTGAGGCTCCAGCTGGTGTGGACACTTCATCCTTGGCAGGACTGAGACGATTTTTTCTGATAGAGCTCTGTTTGGAAAAAAACGACAAGCAAAGAGTGAGAACAAACCAAGTGGTCCTTAGGATGTCTCGCAAGTCTGGGCAGCACCCCAGAGAAATCTGGGGCTCCTCAAAGCCAGGCTCTGGCTAAGTATCTCCTGGCTGACTGCAGAATTAGAAATATAAGCACAATTTCAACATGTGTGTACGTGCAGGTAAGACCACAAAACTGCCTTCCATCCTTTATTCTCAGGCTGTGTTCTTCCTATTTTTTATATCCAGATATTGTTTCTTTAAGAAATTATGGTGATGTTTGAGGTAGTAGTTACTTTTTTTAACATCTCAACATGGTAAAATAAAAAGTTATTAGTGCCCCATATTCTTTTACATTTCATTTACTGACCTACTTTTTCCAAAAGTCTGGGAACTACATAGGTTAACAATGTTAAAAAGTTGTTCTAAATATTACTCAGGCAAGAAATAATTACCAGACTTTGTGCCAGGTGCCCAGAATATTAAGAAAAAACTTGGGGCCTGAAGCTTAAAAAAAAACTTGGCGTTCTCTACTCTGGTACAAAAGTAATTTTAAAATAAAAAACAGCCTTTAATTTTGATACTCTAAAATCAATCCTACAGGCCACCCAAGTGGCTCGTTGGCTAAGTGTTGGCTTGGGATGCCAGCTCTGAGCAGCAGGGCCACTGGTTCAGATCCCACAAGAGGGCCAGTGACGCTGCACCCTCTACAGCTAAGATGGTGAACAACAGCTCAACCTGGAGCTGGGCTGCTGTGAGTTGCCGGCAACTGTGTAGGCTGCAGTGGGGATGCAGTGGGCTGCCATGAGCTACTGTGAGTGGCCGGCAGCCAGCGTGAGCTGCCATGAGTCACCATGAGCGGCCGTCCAATGGCAGGTGACCGATTTGCCTCAGCCGGGAGGAGCGCAATGTTAATACCCACATGGGCCAGTGAAGCGACGTCCTCCACAACTAGACTGAAGAACAAAACGACAGCAACTTGTCTGTTCCCCTCCCCCAATTTCCCAATAAAATCTTAAAAAATAAATAAATAAATAAAATCAATCCTAGATTTGGGAGAACAATGTGTCCTCATTCTTTTTTCCGGACAGGAGAAACTTTGTGCCTCTTAGGAGAAACACTAATCTCTCTCCAACACCTTGCCTCAGTCCTCCCCCTAAACAGCTGGGAGTAGGAGGGGGAAATCAGGCTCTCTGAAGTCCCAGAGCATTCTTCTGTCTCAGTCAGAGGTAAGCATCTCCCCACCCCTCCCTGCTGGAGAGGTTTTTTCAGCTCAACCTGAACCTGGTGGGACAGTTTTATAGCAGGAATGATAGAGGGACTTGTGAGCAAATCCATTTCACCACAGATTTAAGCCTCTCTCTCTAATTAGCTGATATTTGATCTCTAACAGTCTGGTTCCTGTTTCTTATATCTTATTGGGATCAGATTCAAGAGGAGAGACTAGAGGTAGGTTATTTAGTGGTTCTGCTAAACCCCAAAGCCATGGCACATAGCTCAGGAACCTTGAGAAACAGTTGTAAGGCAAGGCTCTCTTGGGCCATATGGATATTGGGGTCTTCGGTCTCAGCCTGCGTTGGTAGTTTAGGTTATATCCTCTCTATATAGTAGCAGTTACAGCAGCTACTGTGGCCTTGGTTACAAGTGTAGGACTATTTGCTAATAGATGAAGGCTCTGGTGAATGAAGTTGCCAGGTCTTACTAGATGCTTCAAATTCAGTAAGTTTTGGGTCTATGAAAAGTGTTCCTTGTTCAAAGAAATTTCACACATCTTTATCTTTCTGCAGTTCCGTAATCCTTCCAAGGAGACAGACACCCTTAAGACCCACGTCTAACTCAGGCCGGGGTAAGAGCAATTATTCTGACCTTTGATCCCTTAGCAGGTTTCAGCCCCTCAGTTTGGTAGGAACTAAGTCATCTAGGGACAAATGCTAAATGGCTCCCCAGTGAGTGGTCCCTGAAGAACACTCTACGAAACCATATTTATGCACAGAAAGCAGCTGTACAAGGTCGGACCAACGTTAAAACTGCAGAGGGAAACAGTCACACCCCTAGCTCTACTGATCATAATATCAATGTCAAGTCCAATATGTTAAGAGAAAAAAATTTGGAGAGGGGAAGACTGAAACCCTACTGTACACATTCACAGATGCTAGGAATAGCCACCTCCCAGGAGGGAAGCACATGGGAAAACATTTTCCATAAGAAGGGGAGGTGTGATTTACCCAAAAGGTCTAAGATATGGAAGAAAACTGTCATGTGGCTCTCAGCCTCGCCAGCTGTCCCTCCTTTCCAAGCAGCCTGTGAGTAGGTCACCTGCGTATTTTCTGCCATGCAATGTATGCCCTGACCCAGGGGGGAAGCCTGTGGTTGTCCAGCTCTTTCTGGGGCTCAAATGGGATAGTCTGGTAGGGAAGTATTAACAAACCCATTTGGCAGCATATCTAAAGCTCGCTCTCTCTGATAAACTTTACCTTTTATTTTCATCTCCCTCAGACTCCTATGCCTTGTTTCTTAATTTCTATGAAATCTGTGAGAGGAAGAGATAGGCAGTTAACTGGCCCAAACTCCAAGCTTAGCAAATGAAGATGATTAGCAAGCCCTGTTCTGTGCCCCTGCTCAGGGTAGGTCTTAGTTACTTTTATGCTGGGGGTGTGGGGGTGGGCACCTTTCTTCTCAGTTAATTTTGGTTCAGTAGGAAGAAGGCTCCCTCTAGTGGCTACAGATCTAGGGGTTTGCAAAGTGTCACTTATTGCCTACAACCACTCAGTAGCTTTTTAAAAATGAGGCTTGGCATTCAATATTATTTTATATTAATTTCAGGTGTACACAGGGGATAGATATTTACATAACTGAAGAAATGATCACTTCATTAGGTATACAAATGTTGAATAACTACTGTATACATCTAAAATTTATGTAATATTGTATGTTAGCTGTATTTTAATACAAATCTTAAAAAAAAAAATCTTAAAACAAAACAAAACAAAAAATGAGGCTTGGACCCCCAACACCAACCAGCCCAACCCTCTATCTTCAGACCAGGCTCCCCTGCCCACTCCTCAGACAGCCTGAGGGAAGGGTGCTGTGGGTCATCTCAGGGTTTACAACTCTCTTAAACCTAGAAATGCCTGCCAAGTCAGCACAGTCTCGGCAGTGTATGGAAGCAGCTGAAGGCACTAACACTGCTGGGGGTGGTGAACACATGGGAGAAACGCAGGCAAGCAGGGGGCAGGGCACAAACGTCAGGAAGACTTCCTGCAGAAACCCACCAGTCCCCATATGGCTTCTCCCAGGAGCTCAGGGTGGATCCTCCGACTCTGAAAATCAAGGAAAATGACAACTGCAGAGGTCACCAGGCAGGATTCCTAGTCTAAGATTTTAATATGCCCACTCGTCATGGTATTGATTCCTTATTTTTTAAGCATGTTCAGTGCACTGTTTTCTCCTCCACTGTCAAATAGTTTGAAAGAGAGTGAATTAAACATGGGTCTAAATTCCCATTCCATCACCTACTCTGGACCTTTGGCAAGTCACCTGGTCCCTCTGGTCCAATACTTCAACATATAATGAGGGATAACCCCTGTCCTACCTATTCAAAGTCTGTTGTGAAGTTAAATAATAAAAAGCATATGCAAGTACTCTGTACACAGTCCCCAGTAGATGTGTGCTGTTGAAATGAACTCAGTTATAATCCTAAAAATCTCATTTATGGATGGATCTCTGAGCATAGGATTCTGTGGTAACAGAGCTTTAGGACAGGCAGGGATGGAGGGTGGAAGCTCATGGAGCCCTCAAAAAAAGAAGGATCAAGAAGAAAAACCAGGCCCCAATTGGGCACACACAGAAGATAGCCTGAGAGATAATCAAGCCCTCAATAGACAAGTGCGCTCCTCAGACAATGCAACTGGGCCACCGTTGCATCAGCTGGGATATGGTGGCACACCAAACATAAGGCACTATTAGACTAAGCTGCACCTAACCAGAAACTTTGTGGGGAGAAACCGCAAACACAGAACACATTCCACAGCCAAACAGAAAAGAGATTTGGATAATTCAGTGCCCTGCGACTAAGACATTTCTCCTACAGGTAATAAAGACCCAACTGCCTGATGTATTGCTGAGTCTGGTGGGTCTTCATGATGCAAACCCCGTCCCCAGCTTTGCCCACAATTACAGTTCACAGCTCTGCACTTAAAAGCTTATCAAGTGCTTACCAGAGAACATAATACATCTTCAACCCCTTATCCAAACCCTTTGGGGCCTATAACTACAGTCAGCCCTCCATATCCATGGATTCCAAACTGCCAACCGAAAATAAGTACAGTGTACCTGATTTTCAGTGACTCAGAGGGGCCACGTCTATTTTCTCAGGCCAAATATCTCACACTCATCCTTGCTTCCTTCTTACACGCTGAATCCAGTCTGTCATGAAATCCTTAATGTAGCCAAAGTCCCAGAACAATGCTAATCCACAGTAGGAGTTCACTAAATACTTGCTGACTCAATGACTAAGTGAAACGAGATTCCTCTTGACCGTGATATTTTGATATTCTCCTTGAAACAGCACCATTATGGTCCAGAAGATTACATTTCCTTTTCTCTGACCCCCATCACGATCAGTTATTGTAAACACTGTTTAGATTTACTTTTAGAGTCTACCTATGGATAAAGCACAACCTAATTGCTATTACAGAAGTGACTACATTATGCCATTATGTACATTATGTGTATACATTATGCCCTGAACACTCTAACAGTAATGCCAGGATGGTAGATGGAAGCTGAAAGGAAAGAGGGCAAAACAGAGATACTAAAACATTCACCCTATGTAACTAGCAACCAGGAGAAACTATCTAATGTTAACCGGTCAAGAAATAGAGATTTAAGTAGATTAACATGATACAAGTGATCACAGAAAAACAGATAAAAATGAAAAGACTGGAAGATGAAAGAGATGCAGTGAGTCGCACAGGTGAGCTAATTTCTTCCTCTCACTGGGTGCGAATGAAACAGAATGAAAACATAGTTGGAAATGGTGAATTGACCGCTCTGAAGAATCTAAAACCTCAACTGTTGAAGATGATTCTTTCCAGGAAATAAAACGGGGGTATAGAATGGGAAGAGGGAGAGACATCAGCTGTGTATTTTGTTCCCTTTGGTAGTATGTGAACGTTTTTCTTCAACTTCATGGATGTAACATCTACATACTAAAAACAAACAAAAAAATAAGAAAATCTACCTCTGGATTTAGCACTACCAGCTGAGAGCAAAGCCACACACCTAGACTCCACTGCACTGCTTCCCAGTGGAGGACTTTTCACCACAGGTCGCAGGATGTGAGGCCACAGTCCCAGAACAACAGGTATTCAGGTGCAGAGCCCCGGTATTCATGGCTGGGCACTGATGAGCACAGTGTCACTGAGTTAAACAATACATCCTCTTCAGTGAGGAGCCCAGAGATGTCCTTCGGTCTTAGTATTAAAAATTTTGGTGATTCTGAGGGACTGATTTTTCTTCTAATGTACAGAAATCATGAATTGGATCATTTATCATGTTTTTCTCTTTTTGTGGCTGCCAGAAAGCTCAGAGCTAAATGTATGGCCCACCCTTAAGACCATGAAGCATTTTGTGGCCCATCACAGGTGTGGTAGCCTTATCCCCAACTCTGCCTTCTGTCTCCATTGCTTCTTCCTTTTGCTTTGCTTTGCCTTTGGGTCACCTTTCCGTGGTTACTGCTTCATAGGCATATTTATAAGCCATCTTTAAGCCATTTAGAAGTGTTTTTTTCTTGGGAGTAAGGCTTCAAAAAACTCAGTCACAGAATCAGACAGATCTGAGATCACAAATCCTTCGTACAGATAAAGGCACCAAGGCTTGTCCAAGGTTACACAGCTGCCCAGTGACAAAGCTGAGAGCAGAACTGGGGATCCCATATGGTGTAATAAAATCCCCAAACCCCTGGGAAGCTATGGAAAACTGGGCATGGTGCCCTCAGGTAAAAATCTCTAGCAAGGGGCCCATGCTGCCTTCTCTCAACGGCAAGCAAAGTGGGGCTCTGTCTTACACAGAGGCAACAGGGCAGGGAAGATTCTCCTTTCCTCACCCTATTCTATTTCCATTTAAATTAGCTCCCATTAGAAGGAGATACACTAAGAAGTCACTTTGAGAAAAAGTTTTAGAGGTGCTGAACAGCACTACTCATCAGGGAAATGCAAATCAAAACCACAGTGGGATATCACCCCATACCCATGAGAATGGCTATCATCAAAAAGACAAGAAATAACAAGTGCTGGTGAGGACATGGAGAAAGGGGGCCCCTGTGCACTGTTGGAGGGAATGTAAATTGTTGCACAGCCAATATGGAAAACAGTATGGAGGTTCCTCAAAAAATTAAAAAATAGAACTACCATATGATCCAGCAACCCCACTACTGGTTATACAGAAGGAAACAAAATCACTACCTTAAAGAGACATCTGTACCCCCATATTCATTGCAGCATTATTTACAATAGCCAAGACATGGAAACAACAACCTAAGTGTCCATCAACAGATGAATGGATAAAGAAAACACAGCATATATATAGTATACAACAGAATATTATTAAAAAGAAGGAAATCCTGCCATTTGCAACATGGATGGACCTTGAGGGCATGTGCTAAGTAAAATTAGTTAGACAGAGACAGACAAATACTGTATGATTTCATTGAACTGAACTCATAGAAACAGAGAACAGATTGGTGGTTGCCAGAGGTGGGGAATGGGAGGGGTGGGCAAAATGGGTAAAGGTGGTCAAAAGGTACAAATTTCCAAGTATAAGTCCTAAGGATGTAAAGTACAGCATGGTGACTATAACAATACTGTACTGTATATTTGAAAGTTGATAGGAGAGTAGATCTTAAAAGTTCTTATAAGAAAAAAAAAATTGGATCTGTGAGGTGATGGATGTTAACTAAACTTATTGTGGTAATCATTTCACAATACATACATATATCAAATCATTACACTGTACACCTTAAACTAATACAATGTTATATGTCAATTATATCTCAATAAAACTGGAAATAATTAAAAAAAAAAAAGAAGTGTTAGAAACAGCCTGAACATTAAATGACTCATATGCTACCAGTGTGGCCTTGGCTTCTTTCAGCCTCAGTTTTATAACCTATAAAATTGCAATAAAACCTGTTGTAATGAAAATTAAAATATGTAGTGTCCAGTACAACCTCTGGAACAAAAGTTACACCCATCTACCCTTTTAGGCTCTTCCATGAAAACTTTAGCAACTTACATTTTTTGACCTATTGTAGAGTTTTCTTGAAAGAGCAAATCAACGTCTACATCAAAGTTGCAGGTGGTAATGCACCACGTCATTCCTCCTACCACCTGCAAGACACAAAGAAAACACGTTTCCTCTTTCTAGTCTGGGGAGAGGGGGAGAAGTGGAAGGTCGATAAAATAGAAATATCAATAGTTTTTACAGACTCAGCGAACACACAAGATTCTATCTTTACAGAGAGTTCATTTGTCCTGAGTCCATCAGCTATAGTTCATCCAAGTAGCACTGTTGAATAAAGCTTTCTGCAATGATGGATAAGTTCTGTATCTGCACTGTCCAGCCCAGTAGCTACCAGACACATATGGTTACTGAGCACTTGAAATCTGGCTAGTGTGGCTGAGAAACGGACTTTTAATTAGTGGTCACAGCATGCAGGTTCTCTTTATACTGAAGGGGACAAATATTCAATCTCAGCCAAGAGAAATCTTAACCCAGCTTCAGACAAGTGCCAGATTCCAGAGGAATTATGTTGTTTTATGGACCAGACGTGTGAGTAGCAAGGCTGACATTTTGTGGCTCATTACTTAGTTTCCATAAATCTTATTTTTTTCATTTACCTAAAGGAGATGGGAATCCCTGGTCTACTTTCTTCACATGATTTCTCTGAGATGCAAATAAGCCGAAGGCTAAAAATCTATTTTAAAACTCGATCCTTTTTGAACCAGCTTGATGGTAAAAAACAAACAAACAAACAACAGTGAATCCTACTCCTGGCTATGCTGTAGACTCATGTGAGATGCCTAATAACATAGATTCCAGCCCGGCCCAGACCTAGCTGACCAGAATTTCAGTGGGTGAGGCCTAGACATCTGTAGTCTAAAACAAACCACAATGATTCTGTTCCATGCAGCCAGGACTGTGACCCACTGGAACACTCCACACTTTCATCCACAGGAAGCTTTCCTGGCCTTCACTTTCTGATCTGGATGCTTCATGTCTGTGCACAGCTCACTGTAATACTTATTGCATATTGCCATTTTTCTACGAATTGTAGTTTACTTGTCTCTCTTCCCTATGCTCTGGAGGTCAGAATCTTTGAGTACAGGGCTTTTGTCTAATCTTGTGCCCCTGACACCTATTACTAAGCCTTGTGCATAGTAATTGTTCAAGGTTCTGCTGAGTTAAACTTCATCCTATAGTGACCTCTCCCTCCTCCAAACGAAGCATTTACCATCCATAGAAAATCTGGCAATTGTCTGTGAGCACACTCCTTACTGACTCAGATTATTGTATCTTACATAAGCTTTATCTCCCCAACCAAACTGTAAGTTCCTCAAAAGGTAGAACAATTTATTTTGCTTATTTGCATTTCCTAAAGCTTTGTGCACAGAAAAGGAATCCAAGGTGTATCCATTGCTATATTATTATTTTCATTTAATAGGAAATTTGAAATTTGAACACTTCCATAATAAATCTGAATTAGGTAGAAATGGAAACATGGACATGGAGAAAGTAAAAACACAATCTTTCCTTTCCATGGTTAACCATGATATCCTGACAAAAAATTGCTTCATGGTTAGAAAGATCTCCTCTTACCTTATCAAAAGGCGACAAGCCTTTAATTCTTGCCCTGAAATACCCAGCTGCAACCAAGAGCTCCAGAATTTCAGTCAACTTGACATTTTGTTCTTCGTCTTCTCTTGTTTCTACCTAAAACAAAAGGCAAAAGGCAGGTGAAAGCTACTCTGAATGAAGAAACACCAGGTATATCTCCTGAGGCCACCACACTGCCAGGTGACATTGGTTGTATCACTGCAGTCATGCAGGAGCACGGGAACACAGTGCTGCCAGAGTTGTACAGAACCGAGTTCCCAGTCCTCAGCAAGCTGTTAATTGTCACAGGTAGGGGAAGACACGCACAGGTAGCATAGGCTATTCACCAGATGCTGAAAGAATCCAGGGAAAGGAAGATTACAGCACATTACCTGCCTGTTCTCTAAACACACGGTTTACTTGAAAGGCTTCTTGACTAGATTATAAATTCCTTACAGATAGGAACACGGTAGTTTTTTTTTTTAAACTTTATACTCATTTTGGTCCAAGTTATTTTCCAGAGGGGCATGAACAAAGAGTTCAAATATATACACCTCTCTGCACTTCTCTTTATTTCTAACGCAAATATAAGGAAGGCTTTCAACCCAGAAATATTAAAGGGTGATTACTGCCATATAACAGGATTGCCTTTAAAATAATAAATTCACCTAACACATTTAAATAGGAATTTGATTTAAAATTTACATTTATATACTACCTTAACTCCCAGGTGTTTATTTACAAGTCAAATACATCTAAATATTCTAGTACTTCTGCCTCCATTTACTTTCATGAACTGTGCCTTTCCTCTTGTGTATCATTGCGGAAAATAAAAAAACACCTCTCTATATAAAACACCACCACGGTATCCTGGTTCAAATCTTCGTACCCATTTCTCACTACTCCCTACTCAACAACGCCTGTTAAATCTTCCTTCACTAAGCAGCTCACATTTATCATCCCTTCCCTTTTATTTACACTTCATGCCAGGACTATTGCAACTGCCTCTCAATCTTTCTACTCTGTTAATTTGTCTTGCTCATTCCTTCCTAAATCACAGCCTTCATATCATTAACTCTTTAGCTTATCTCCTAGCTCTCATCATTAATGCATCATACACTGTCTATAAAATGAACTGAAATGTCTTAGTTTGGCACCTATATCTTTCATTGGCTCCAACCTATCTTTTCAGCTTCATCTTTCACCTCCCCCCAAAACAATCCAGGCACGGCTATGGCAACCTAGAAAAACACTGTTCACACCATGCCCCTTCTTCCGATACTCTCTGACCAGCTAGAACCATCTTCAAATTCTAGCTCCTATTCGATGCCAAACCTGACAAATACAGCCTGAAATAGTCATCCCTCTGCATTTCTATTTTATTTACAGTCTATGTCATCCATACAATAAGTAACAACCTCTTCTGAGTGACATGTCTGGTGTAATGCACATTCCTGTCTTTCCAAATGGACTATTATATTAGCTGGTTCAGGAGAGGACCCATATATTACTCACCTATATTTGCTCCCCTGTTCTGAAACAGCATTAGGCTCCAAGGACACACTTATTAAATAGGGAATGACATGCTCAATCATTACATAAAATGCATGAGCTAAGCCAGTCATGTATTAACAAAATGTTTTCATAGTCATGACACCAATAATAGAAATTCCAGTTTATTTTGAAGAACAAACTGCCAGGGGAGGGAGCATATATATTAACATATAGTTGAACAAGGAATTATTAAAATTACTGTTAATCCCTTGCAATGGGGGTGGGGAGTGGGGTGGTGGAGGTGACAACCATGCTCCACTACTCATTTAACTTCTCTCTCAAATGACCCTGGTCCAGGCTATCAAAGGTTCTGAAGGTTAGCATTCACTAGCTATTAGTGGACATGCAAAACAAGGTAATATTAATTATTCACACCTTTTCTTCCTTGGCAAAAGATCTGCGATGGTTGAAAAATATGTACAAGTGGAGAAACAAAAGAGAAGGTAAAGAGCTTTTATGATTCACAAAGATAGAGTAGGGAAAAAAGGGTGACACAGTACTTCCTTAAAACTCCTGCAGTGTAAAACGCAAAGACTTCATTTGTTCAATCATCATTTATCATGAAAACACTTCTAAAAAGAGGACAACCCACATCCTGGGAGGATCAACCCTGCCTCAGCTTCTACTGAAGGAGCGCCCATGGCAGAGGCCCATGCTTCTCAACCGCTCACCCTCAGAATGGAGAAGTGAACTTTTGCAATGTAGCCTGTGAAATTGCTTTTTGGCACAAAACACTGAATGGATATTGTTAATAAGACTCCAAATTCATTTCCTAGATTAACACTGCAACAAAATGGAAAAGGGCATGAAAGAATGTCTCTCTTGAAGCCATAAAACTGGTTAATACATCAATTGTTTAAAAAACCCCAAAACAAAACAAATCCACTAAAGTTCTGATAAAGATGAATAATTGTGAGCTCTTAAACCAGGCACACTAAATTTTCAATTGCATTGTACCGTAGTTCATATAAACTGAAAGGCAGGGCCAAATTGAGCTACCTTTCTGTCCTTCACATGCATACCATAAGGGTTTAAAAAATTGAAGTTAATTAATAGGACTAGTAACAGCTTAATGACACAGATTATATGTACTGGTCTTTGAATTAAATGATAATAATTTGGTTATATATTCACCCTGTCTGCCTCCTAATTACCAAGAACTGTCCTAGGCTCTTGGAAAAGTGACAAATAAGACCCAGCCTCCTAGCAGTCAGAAAAGAGTTAAACAAAGGACACACAGGAGCAGCTTGCTTTTTATTTTAGAAAGATCCCCATTGGTAGTGGGACGTTGAATTGGAGGGATTTAAGTAGAACCAGAGAGGCTAACCAGGAGTCTACAGCAAAAGGCCAGGCAAAAACTTGATGAGGGCCTAGAATAAAGAAGTGGCAGAAAGGATTATCAAATCAAATATCACAGTACAGATCCCGGTCTTCACAATTCCTGGTCCCATCAAAGCAACTTGTATGTAAGGCTTTACTAATACAAGAGTTTTGACAACACTACACTTGTTAGGTTTTCTTAAGATAACAACAAAACAGACGTGCATTCTGGGAGCACAGACTGACAGGTAACTCTGTCCTTTCATCACTGTATCTCTCCAGCTCTTATGCACAGAACAATCATCTCTGAATTAGTGGGTACTTGTGGGACGAAAGAACTGAAGGGGAGGGGGACAGAGAAGCAAGATTGGCCATTGGCAGCTCAGTGTGAGGAGACCACTCACCAAGTCCAGAAATCAGTCCTCCTGTCAAATGCCTGCTTCAGAACCTTAGGAGGGGGATAGAGGTACAGTGTGCATTTCATTTCTTTCAAGAATCAAGTAAACTAGACTAGCTTTTGAGTAAATCACCTGGAAGAGAAGGCAGATGCAAACCACCTAGCTAAGTAATAGTTGCAGCCAAAAGGAAATGTACTTTCCTTTTATTCCCAATGTGGAAATCCGGAAACCACTGATTATCCTATCCTTTACGACCGAGCGAGTACTTAATAACAAACACCTCTGGAGGAAAAGCACCCGCTATCTTCTAGGGAAGGAATAACGTTTCCGCCCGGGGCTGGGTCCCCGCCACACAGCACCACTAGACAGCGCGGTGCGCTGACCCAGCTGGACACAACCTAGTGCCGACACGGCCCCCAAACGTCTTTCTGCCGCCCAGGTCGGGCGTGGGGGAAACTGTAGGGGGCGTTCCCTTCAGTCACCTAGGTCTGTGGGGTCGGCCGTGGCGAACACGCGGACCCCGCTAGGCGGCGGCAGGAGCCACAGGGTCACCGCCCTTTGCACAACCCGAGCCCGGACCTTCCAGCGCCCGTCTCGTGACTCATGGGCGCAGCAGACCCGGCCCTCCGGGCAAGCTCAGCGGCGCCTGGATCTGGGAAAACTGCCCAGGAGAGCGGGAGAGGTGGGACCGCGGACCCAGGGCCCCGCGGAGCCTGGGGCTGCGCTGGGGCAGTTAATGGGCTGAGAAGGCCACCTCAGTTCCAGGAGACCCGGGAGCGGCTCAAGTTAGTCCCCGCCCACGCCCTTGCAGGGGACCTGCTCTGCTCCAGCGGATAGGGTCGGTGCTGCCCGCAGTGCACACACCTCAGGAAGGGGGCGGGGCGCCCAAACACAGCCAGGGCCCCCTCTGCCCGCCGTCCCGCGGGCTTGGCCCTAGTTCAGGAACCCGACGTATCCGGGCGGGGGGGGAGGGGAGGTTGGGAGCTCCTTACCTCGGGGAGACCCTGACCCTCCGATCCCTTGGGCAACCCCATGATCCGGCTGGATTGACGTGCTGCAGCACAAAACTTCGCGGAGCGCCCGGAGGAAGCTGCCCCTGGCTGCGAGGCTGCTACCGGGGTGGAGTGCAAAGAAGCAACTTCCTCTGCGGTCGCCGCCGCCGCCGCCGCCGCCGCCACCGGCCCGGAGCGCCGGGGACCCGCGGAGCATGCGCGCTGGGGCGGGAACGCGGCGCAATTGCGCCTGCGCAAAGGATACCGGGCAGAGGAGGGACTGGCGGGGACCGTGGAACTGCGTTTCCGCCGCACAGTGGAGGCTGACCTTCATGAGCTTCACGCCGGAGCTCTGCATTTTTCTCCGAGGTGCTTAATAAAAGACTTTTCCTGCATCTTGGGGAAATTTTGTATTCTGGGTCTCCTCTCTGCTTCTCCCGGGCATCACATGCCCCAAATGGGTTCTCCGCGAGCCGGACTTCGGAAACCTCCTCGCTCCTGGGTCAGATTCCAGCACTGATGAGTTTGGGGATTCCACACTTGGGCCCGGTTCTACCTCAGAATCGAGGTGTACTTTGATTAACGCGCACTTGGGCAAACTTCTCAATATAGCGACAGGGAAGCGAGCCCGCGAAAAAGGATTCTTCACGCCTTGTGCCTCCCTCCTGTCTGAGCCAATGCATCTTGCTCTCCCAGGAAACCTTGTCTGAGATGATGTCCCTCTACTCTACCCCCATCCCCAACATCCCCAATCTGGTCTTAAGGGAAGATCTCCGAGAATGCGACTCCAGTGTTGAGGTCAGTTTAGCTGCCACAGCACTTACATGATGCACCCCTTGTCTGTCCCAGAGGATGGCAGCTATATAAAAGAGTTGTTTCCCTGGCCACAAGCCACCGCACCCGTTCTATAATGCCCCTAGCATCTTAAAAAATGGGTATGCAATAAATGTTTGTCCTTCAAGAAATTCTTCATACCTTTCGTACTCCTAGGGTTTATCTCTGGAACCAGAATACGCAAGAGGTTGGAAGAGCTTATGAAGGGCCATTTCCTTCTTTTTTTTTTTTTTTAAGATTTTTATTGGGGAATTGGGGGATGGGAACAGTGCTGGGGAATCAGGGAAGGGGAACAGACAAGTTGCCGTCCTTTTGTTCTTCAGTCTAGTTGTGGAGNTTTAACATCCTTATATCCAGTGTTTTGAACTCTGTATTTGGTAGATTGCTTGCCTCCATTTTATTTAGTTCTTTTTTTGCAGTTTTGTCTCATTCTTTCATTTGGGACATGTTTCTTTGTCTCCCCATTTTGGCTGCCTCCTTGTGTTTGTTTCAATGTATTAGTAGATCTGCTACATCTTCTAGTCTTGGCCAGGTGGCTTTATGTAGTAGGTGTCTTGTGGGGCCTAGTGGTGCAGACTCCCTGGTTACCCGAGCTGGGTGCTCCAGGTGTGTCCCTTGTGTAAGTTGTGTGTTCCCTCCTATTGTAGTTGAGCCTTGGTTGCTGTTTGCATGTCAGTGGGTGGGATTAACCTTCAGGGTGACTAGCTGTGAGGACTGGCCATGACTACATTGGATAAGCCATTGTATGGGGGCTGACCCCACAGAGCAGAATTTGCTTTATTGGTGCTTTGGTGCATACTGTGTCTATCCTTTGAATATGTTATTTTTGGAGCGAATTGGGTGATGTTCTGGTGTCATCTGGAGTCAGTCACTGCATGTGTTGGTCCTGGTGCCTCTTGGGAAGGGTTCCAGTACAAGCCAATGTCAGCCACTGTCTGTGCCTGCCTTGGGGCCACCTGGTAGGAGCTACAAAATGATCTGCAGATGGTAGCTGCCTGTGCTGGACTTGGAGGTGTCTCGGAGAGGCTATGCTGTAAACTGAGTCCAGCTGCCACTGGTACTGGGCTTGGGACTGCTTAGCAAGAGGTAACAGGCTCAGCAAGACCAGCTGCTGCTTGTTGGGGTTTATGGACCTTTGAGAGATTTTGTATAAGTCTGTAGCACTAGCTGAGGCCAGTTGCTTATGTGGAACAGTTGTTGAAAGAGTTTTGGGCCTGATGTGTGTATTGGGTTGGGTGGGGTCTCAGGGAATCACCAGGGCAGGGCAAGGAGTGTTAGCCAGGATAATGGAGACTTAGATTTGACACCTGCCTGAGCCTACACGCTGGGTGGTGGGGAGGGCTTAACAAAGGAACAGTGGCACCTGCCAGCACTTCTGTCCCAGATATAGCAACCTTCAGCTGTTGCCCTGAAGTCAGGCAATTCAGTTCCTCCCCATATGTCCCTGGAGCTTTTCAAGCTGCTGTTCCTTCTCTGGAGTTTAGGGCGAGTGTTTGTGAGCATGTCAGTGTGTGCTGAGGCCCTTTAAGAGGATGCCTGGGCCCATAACAGTCACCCATCTCTCTCAGATGGAATCCCTGCTGATTTTCACAGCTAAATGCTGTGGTGACTTCTTTTCCTTGCACTGCTGCTCTGGGCTGGGGAGTCCAATTTGGGACTGGGACTCTTCACACCTCAGAGGGCACCTCTACAGCTGAGATTTCCCTTCCCATTCTTTACTGCCACACGTGAGTGTGGGACCAGACAATTTTGCATATTAACCACTCCTACCATTCTCAACGTGACTTCTTCTTTATATCCTTAGTTATAAAGGAGTTCTTCTATTCAGCTTGTCTTCAGGTGGTTGTCAAAGAGGTTGTTCTACAACTTAGTTGTAATTTAGTTGATGTGGTCATAAGAGCAGGTGAGCACAGCATTTACTTACGCCACCATCTTGACTGGAAATAGGCGTTCTGCAATGAAGTTTCTTTCAAATGATATGGAGTTAGTAGAAGTTTTTAAGGTACTTAAAATTACCAGAAAAGAGAATAATCTATAGCCAATAAAGATAAATGAGAACAAATGCTGAAGATGAGCAGAAAATGGTGAAGAAGGAAAACTTGATGAAAGACAAAAATAAAATAACAGCCTCAGCTTTCTGTCATTTATTTACAANTTCCAACACTATGTTGACTAAAACTAGTAAAAGTGGAATCCTTGTATTGTTTTTGATCTTAAGGAAAATGCTTTTAGCTCTCCCTGTTGAGTATGACTTTAGCTGTGAGTTTGTCATATATGGCCTTTATTATGTGGAGGTATGTTCCCTTTACTCCCACTTGGCTGAGAGTTTTTATCAAATGAATGCTGAATTTTGTCAAATGCTTTTTCTGCACTTACTGATATGACCATCCATATACTTTTTATCATTTATTTTGTTTATGTTGTGCATGACATTAATTATTTGAGGATATTGAACCAAACTTGCACTCCAGGAATCAATTCCACTTGATTGTGGTATATGATTTTTTTAAATGTATTGCTGAATTCAGTTTGCTAATATTTTGTTGAGGATTTTTGCATCTATGTTCATCAGGGATATTGGCCTATATTTTTCTTTTTTTTTGTAATGTGTTTATCTGGTTTGGAATCAGGGTAATGGTGGCCTCATAAAATGAGTTTGGGAGCCTTTCCTCCTTTTTAATTTTTTGGAATAGTTTGAGAAGAATGGGTGTTAATTCTTTGAATATTTGGTAAAATTTACTTGTGAAGCCATCTGGTCCAGGACTTCTGTTTATTGGGAGTTTCTTGATTAAGTGATTCAGTTTCATTAGTAGTTATCAGTATGTTCAGATTTTCTGTTTCTTCTTGATTCAGTCTTGGAAGATTCTATGTCTCTAGAAATTTATCCATTTTTTCCAGGTTGTACAGTTTGTTAGTAAATAATTGTTCATAGTGTTTTCTTATAATTCTTTGTACTTCTATGGTGTCAGTTGTCACTTTTTCTCTTTCATTTTTTATTTTATTTTTTTGTTACTTCTCATATTTTTCTAAATGAGCCTGTCTAAAAATTTATCAATTTTGTTTATCTTTTCAAATAATCAGCTCTTGATTTAATTGATCTTTTGTGTTTTACTTTTAGATTCTATTTCATTTATTTCCACCCTGATCTTTATTATTTGCTTCCTTTGACTCACTTTGGGTTTTACTTGTTCTTTTTTGTTTCTAGTTCCTTTAGGTGTATGGTTGGTTTGTTTATGTGAGGTTTTTCTTGTTTCTTCAGGTAGGCCAGTATTGCTATGAATTTCCCTCTTAGGACTCTTTTGGCTGTGTCCCATAGATTTTGGGTCATTGTGTTTTCATTTTCATTTGTTTCAAGGTATCTTTTGATTTTTTCCTGATCCCTTTGTTAACCCATTCATTGTTTAGTAGCATGCTATTTAGCCTCAATGTGTTTATGTGTTTTCTAGTTTTCTTCTTGTAATTGATTTCTAGTTTCATANCTCCCAAGACAACTCTTAACTAACTGAGCAACTTGGCTATCCCCCAATTTATACTTCTTAATCCACATTTTTCACTCCCAGCCCCCTTCCATCTATCACCCCAATAAATCTAGTACCCATCTATACCCTACATAGTTATTACAATGTTATTGACTATATTTCTTATGCTATACCTTACAGCCCCATGGCTACTATGTAACAACCAATTTGTACTTCTTAATCCCTTCCCCTTTTTCACCCAGCCCCCCAAACCCCCTCCCATCTGGCAACCATCAAAATTTTCTCTGTATCTATAAGTTTGTTTTATTTGTTTATTTTATTCTTTAGATTTCACATATAATTGAAAACACATTGCATTTGTCTTTCTCTGTCTGACATACTCGACTCAGCACAATACCCACCAGGCTCATGCATGCCGCCACAGATGGCAAGAACCCATTCCCATCCATGGCCGAGCAATATTCCATTGAATATACACATATGTACCACTTCCTCTTTATCCATTCATCTATTGATGGACACCCAGGCTGGCTCCACATCTTGGCTACTGTAAATAATGCAACAATAAACATATGGATGCATATGTCCCCTCGAAGTAGCATTTTGAGTTTCTTGGGATAAACACCCAGAAGTGGGATTATGGGATGCTTCTTTGTCTCTTGTTATAGTCTTTGTTTTAAAGTCTATTTTGTCTGGTATAAGGATCACTACCGCAGTTTTTTTTTTCAATGTTTCCATTTTCCTGAAACATCTTTTTCCCATCCCTTTACTTTCATGCTGTGTGTGTCTTGCGATCTGAAGTACGTCTCTTGTAGGCAGCATATGTAAGGGTTTTGTTTTCTTATGCATTCAGCCACCTTATCTTTAGATTGGAGCATTTAATCCATTTACATTTAAAGTAATTGTTGATAGATATGTAGTTATTGCCTTTTTATTCATATTTTTTATTCTCCTCCTCCTCCTCCTCCTCCTCTTCCCTTTTTTCCTCCTCCTCCTCCTTCTAGAAATTCCTTTAACAATTCTTGTAATACTGATTAGGTGGTGATGAACTCCTTTAGCTTTTTCTTGTCTGGGAAGCTCCTTATCTGTCCTTCAATTCTAAATGACAGCCTTGCTGGGTAGAGCAATCTTGGT